TCGCTCCTATCACAAGCCATCGCCATCCTGAAAGCCTGCTTACAATTGTCCTCATCCGTGCTGCTGAACATGATGCTCTGAGCTCTACCAAGCTACTACCCAAAGAGTAGCCAGCCATAGGATGGGGATACACTGCCATACCTGCTTATCCTCAAATCTTATGGTAAGTAAACAAATTAAAATTATGTGCATAACATTTATGCACATAATGAACTTGATCTGATTCTTGTAGAATGGTGCATCGATAATTTTAAGGGAACAAACCTCCTCCACCCATTCACAGGGGCGTAGGCAGGGGGGGGGGGTGCTTTGGGTGCCAAGGCACCCCCTCAAAAATTTCGATCTTGGTTCACAGCTGGTTCGAGAGAGACTATAGCAGACCCGCTGATCACATGCGCAACTCTGCACATCGCACACTGTAACCATCCCTGTTTTAGACCAGGGAGTAGTTGGTTTTGGTGTAAAATACCATTAACAAACAGACTGTAGAGGAGTCACAATATGTGACTGTAACCAACAGTCCTTGCTCTCTTCTGCTCTTTGCGTGTTCTTTGCTTATCTAGATTTGGTGATCACTTCTATCGATCAACAGCTGTGATGGTGCACTGTATTTCATGAGCTTTGTGCCTTCCTGCATGGCTCCCCCTTCCTGCCAACCATGACCCAGTAGGACATGTGCATCAGATCAAACCGGTATCCGGTTCTTGTATGCAGTCATTGGTGGCATGCAGTAGTTTCAATATTTTAGTGTGAAGTTCCAACAGTCCATCAGTTGCTAAGGCCCATGTTGCTTAGGCTCAGCAGTACCAGAGCAGCCATTATTGTTAATCAGATTGATGCAAGCAGTAAAGGCAGGAGGGGGTCTGGTGTACAATGCACAAAACAACACGGTGCCCTGTACACTAGTCCCCCAGACATGATCATTTCAATACCCTTGGCTATTGAGGGGAAAGAATATCATACCAGTGCCATGGCCAAAGGAAACTAGATTTCTTGTACTCACTTGGCAGGCAGCGGCTACTACAGGAGGTTCACTCCAAGGACATTTACAGGTAAATGTGAAGCCCAATTGTATGTAGCATTTTGGTTTTTGATCTGTATTTTAGGTGTGTGTGTGTGTGTGTGTGTGTGTGTGTGTGTGTGTGTGTGTGTGTGTGTGTGTGTGTGTGTGTGTGTGTGTGTGTGTGTGTGTGTGTGTGTGTGTGTGTGTGTGTGTGTGTGTGTGTGTGTGTGTGTGTGTGTGTGTGTGTGTGTGTGTGTGTGTGTGTGTGTGTGTGTGTGTGTGTGTGTGTGTGTGTGTGTGCATGCATGCATGTGTGCGTGCGTGTATGTGTGCCCGCACACACTTATGAAGGGGTGTATGTCCATATGTGTGTTCGTCTCCCGGAATTATAAATAATGAAAAAATTTGGACTGAAACTTGGATAAAAGAGAGGCTAAGTTGCATGTTGTTTTTGGCGTGATTCAAAATTTCCGCTTGCGTTATTTGGCCCGCACTTTGTGAGGGCATAAGTTTCTCCACATGCCATTCACGTCCGCTCTACCACCGCTGTCTTTGCATTTTGCCACATACGGAGTTGCACAACTATCATCTCCAGCCGGGAAGCTTTCCTCAGATCATATGCAGCTACTTTATGAGGTATACAAACTTCAAAGGCACATCTTGCTGCAGTAGAAGATTTCTAAATATCCATCAGTCCAAGTTTGTGTATTACTTTGAAATGGTTGTCGACCACCGTGATGTCCGCATCCAATCTAGAAGACTGCAGTGGCTGAGCGTTCACCGGCAGATTCCCCATGCAACCAGCACAGAAAGGTATGAACATCGAAGACTCCTGGCCCGATGAGAGCAGAAAGTCGCCATTTTTCGAGCTCGACACGAGACTCCTAAATCTGAATGATGAATCCTGTCCACATACGATTTTAACAAAATACAAGCGGAAACACGGGCCCAATTTTCAAAAACTAATCTGGCGTCAACATTTGGCGCTTTATGCCAATCGATGGCCCACTTGACGTGAAATTTTGCGTCGTGTCTAAAATAGCACGATACTTAACCTCTCTAGTATCCACTGGAACTCTCTCGCTCTCCTATGCTCCCCTTTATACAACCCCCCCCCCTCTCTCTTTCTCATAGACTCTGTCCATCTCCCTGTCTGGTAACCTTTCTCCATTTATCTCATCAAACTCATAAACTGTCCCCATCTGTCGCAAACTCTCGGTCTGTCATGTACGCTTCCCTATTTCTCAGTGTGTATCGGGGTGTCTGTATGGCTGTCTCCTTCGTTAATGATTGTGTGATTTCTGGTGACAGTGTGCACTATTCTGTTTAGATGCGATTGGTAAAACGTCAGGGTGACTACCTGCTGCAGTAGGACCACATGCCACACACGTTTCTGGTGAAGCTGAAGGTCAGTGTGTTCTTGTGTGTATGTGCAGCCTGTCACATGTTACAGTGACACCTAGCTGCTTATCCAGTCCTCTTTTATGCGGATCCCTCGCCATCCGGAAGGAAATCGTTGGTTACCGATTTACAGCATATTTCATGCATTCATACAGTATGTGTGTTCGATTATCCGGTTCCCTCGCTTATCCGGATATTCTGTGGAAAGGGGTTGTGTGCGGTTAAGCAAAAGGTAAACCCACCTTCAAAGTAGTCTCTCTGCAGACTCACTGGTTCTTGACGAATCACCTAGCAATGGCAAAGGGCCATTGCTTCTATATCTTTCATGCATTCATACAGTATGTGTGTTCGATTATCCGGTTCCCTCGCTTATCCGGATATTCTGTGGAAAGGGGTTGTGTGCGGTTAAGCAAAAGGTAAACCCACCTTCAAAGTAGTCTCTCTGCAGACTCACTGGTTCTTGACGAATCACCTAGCAATGGCAAAGGGCCATTGCTTCTATATCATTTCACTCGAACCGAGAACATTCCACCGGAGAGGCTCGCCAGTGCCGAGCATGCAGAGCGCATAATTATTTGCTACGTTCCCTCCTCGCTACTGTATAAGTACAGATTTTCGTTCACGAAATCTTTCGTTATTCCCTCAACCGATAGGCTTCTTTAATACGTACTAAATTTCGTTTTTGGTCGAGGCCTGTCACCCCAAATGTTCAGAAAATAAATTTAGTTCGGTACAAACTTTAGTTATTTCGTGCCCTAACGAATAACGAAAGTTAATTCCAAACGAAAATTTGTACTTAGACAGTAGCAACTGTTATTCATGTCGGTTTGGATGCTGTAGAGTCGGCGACTCAGCCAAAGGTATGAGAAGCAGGTGAGTCGTAGGACGACGTCATAAAAACAGTTGGGGGTGAGACAATCCTACATTTTTTAACCTACCCTCGATTCAACCATGCAGCACAGTTTCCATTATCAATGAGGTGCTATCTCTACGACCCTTGGCCTTGCTCCCATCGCTCATGGAACTAACAGCCAACCCCCGAACAAGACCCATTCGTTTTCCTTCCGCTACATAATTCGGTACCTTGTGTTATTGAGCAACTCTGCTCATTTATAAGAAAGGGTTCGCTCCCCACACAGGAGCTCGCACTGTTCTCGCTGTTCTCGTGTTCTTTGGATGGCAGTCATGAGTCAGTCAAGTGTCAAGTCAAGTCGGCGGAATAGCGCGAGCTCCTCTGTGGGGAGCGAACCCTTTCTTACAAATCATCGCCGAAGTCGCAACCACTATTTCGTTCTGCTCATTTAGTTCTGCGAATTCAAATCGAAAACATGAAAACAAACAGAACAAACAAACAAGACGGCAACGGTCTGGTCAGTGCCGCAGCAGCAGCGCAAAGCCACCACGGCCCACCACGGCCCACCGCGGCCCACCACGGCCCACCGCGGCCCACCACGGCACACTGCGGCCCACCGCGGCCCACCACGGCCCACCAGCTATCCAATTGCTTTTGCATGTCCTACCCCTTTTGTCTGTTTGTCCTACATTGTAGTCTTCTGTCCCACTTTACTGTTACGGTGTTACCCCACATCATCTGTAGGATCAAGTGCTTTGAAACAAAAACAAAAAAAAACAAAAAAAAACATCCTATCTGTCCACTCCTGCAACACAATTCGCAGACCATTTCCGTATGGCATCACTGAAGCATGAAATTCTCTGCCGCCAGGCGGCCTCCTATAATTGTGCCTTCCCATGCTAAATGTAAAGGTCTCCACAGCTTCACGGAGCGTGCCCATCAGCGTCCTCGACGCAAGGAGTGGGTCTGTACCACCCATATAGGGGTGAAGAGACCCACTCTTTGCGTATAATTCTTCTTGTGCTTAGCGTGCCAGTAACTTCCATCTTCCCAATATCTTCCCAATATCTTCCCAATATCTTCCCAATATCTTCCCAATAACTGCCCAGTATCTTCCCAGTATATCTTCTCCAGTTGGAGTATCTTCCAGTATTTTGCCAGTGTCTTCTTGCCCATCCAGCATTCCTCCTCCCACCCCCTCCCCCTTTCCTCTTACTTCTTTCATGACATTGGTGCATCGATCTAGTAGTACCGATCTAGTTCATTACGAGCCTGAGACCTCATCTCGTAAAGTGCTCTAGGTATCATCACCCTTTTTTGCCCCTCAATTCTAACCAGATTGGAGCTGATAATCATTGGTACTCGTAGGAAAAAGGTTGTTCCCAGTCTGCGAAACAAGTATTCTGGCTGCACGTGTCTCTCACTCGGCTACCGTATTCCACAAACGTGTAGTGGCTCGTTGGAGGAAAAATGGCAGGAAAGAATCGGGACTCATCGAAGAAGAACCGCTTTCCAAAAACAGTACTCGAATAGTAAGCTTTAGGGCCTAACGAACTTCGGCAATAAAGAACTAATTTTCCTGCACAATCATAATGGTGTGCGAATGGATGCAAAGAAACAGCCGGTTATAAAAGCGTGCCCCAATTTATCAATTATAGCCAACATAGATTTATGACCTTTTGGCCAAGCCGTTTGTAGGGTGGTGGTGAGTCGCCCCGCACCATACACGTACATACCGGTACATCAGACACAGGTCATGATCATACTCCAACTCTCAAGTATTCATGCAAAAAAAGGCACTGTCGTTCTGTGATAAGAAGCAGATAAACGCACACAGCAGCAGCAGCAGCGCACATTGGTAGTACGCAAGGCGATAGGAGAGAAAACAGGACAGGATATCCCAGCACAGCAAAGCAGACTCTGTAAAAGCAGACTCTTGGAAACAAGATTCTGTTTGGTGAGCACGGTCTATATTATACAGTTCGAATGGGCTGATAACCAACTCTCTCAGTCACACTTCTATGAGAATGGTCTATACTGTATAGTTCCAATGGAACTCCCATCGTCACACTGTTGCTTGGGGTCTACGAGCATCAAGACAACACAGCCACTCCTGTGTCAAAGTTACAATCGCACAAGAAACGATGCAAAAGTTAATAAGATACCGTGAAGCAACAGAAGAGGTATGCTGATTGAAGAAAGAGGTATGCTGATTGAAGGAGCGCGCGCGTACGTACACAGCAAAAAACTACAAACGACGGCAGTCAAAAGACGAGTAAAAAGGTATGTACATACATCAAGACACATGCACATGCACAAACACACAAGCGCACACAGACGTACACACACGCACGCACACAAACACGGAAAGACGTACACACACACACACACACATCTGAGCAGCTATACATTTCCGCACGCACACATAAAGGCGAGATAGAGAATGGATGGCTATTATGTATATGATGGAAGACGCTAGCACGGATCTAAAACGAAACGACAGTAGTGGTAGCTGACCTAAGAGGCACATCAACATTTTCAAACACCAACTATATCAATCAGGTCAACGTGTGGGGAACAAAACTAAAGTGTCATCGCATCACATGTACACACACACTCACACACACGAAAAAGGTCCACTGCACAGTCTACAGGTTCTGCCCCGACTGACACCATGCTAGCAGAGCAGAATGTGGCCAAGTTTTACTGGATAGCTGCTCTCACTCGCGGCCTTCCTTCGAACAGTACGCGCAGGAAAACATTGTTTAGCAAGCACTCTGTTGATTTCATTAACACATGGCGGCCGGCGTGATGTGAGAACTCAAACAGCGCTCAGCTACTGCTGTTTGCGTGACGTGCTTACACCGTTGGAGAACATCTCCACAACGAGCAGGTTGATATGAGCTCAGCTTGATGCACGGTTTAGACTATAAAACATCTCAGACACACCACTCTACATACGTAGATGGGTCATGGTGGTGTTAGCAGGGGCGCTTAGTGACAGTGGTGACAGTGAAGGTGACCGTGGTGGTGGCGCGAACAACAAGGCGGCTGTAACGGGAGCTGCGTGTCTATGGATCTGCCTGGACAGACGTGCTAGCGTTCGCCAAATCTCCAGGGACTCAGCTCCTGTGCGGGCAGGCCAAACTGCATGAGCGTGTCCTGGGTCATCATGGTGTTGTCCTGCGCGATGGCCATATTCTGCAGCGAGGTGTGGTGCTGCGGTACCTGCTGTATTACGCGAAGGTTGGGGTTGATTCCGGTGCTGCGCTCCAGGGTGGAGTTGGTCGACGACGAGCCCATCAGATCGAGCCATTCCACGTTGAGCGCCGGGTCATCTGCGGATAGGCCGTGGAGGCCCCGGCCGAGCGAGTCGAACTGAGTAGCGTACATATCCGCAGAACCGTGCGACAGCCGACCCACGCTTCTGCTCGAGTGATTGGAGTGGCTAGACTGTTGTGAGTCGGGTCTGGAACCATTGCCAGCAGCTCCACCGGCCGCCACCGCAGCGCTGTTCAGGACGTCGGGAGCACACACCATAGTCAGTCCGGGGGTGACCGATGCCACAGTTGCCACGCCGTGCCCTCTGCCCGCCACCGCTAACGGTATACCATCGACAGAGCCACAGCCAGAATGTATACTGGTGCTGGCCGGCGACGTTCCCAGGTCTGAGTGCATCAGCGACGATGCCGGGGAGGACGGGTCGAACAGGTGATCGGCGCTGCGGTGGTGAGTGGGCGCGATCATGATCGGTCCGCTGCTCTGGAAACCAAGCGAGCCGGAGTCACCAACACCTCCTGTACGTGCAATACACACAGTGGACAACAAAAAAAAGCACACACAGTCATGTCGTGCCCACACACGCACATCAACACACAACGAAAACGATGTAGAGGGCCTTGATAAGCAATGGTGGAAACATAATACGTGATATCTTCACGTAACAGTTCTTGCAGTAGTAATCCTACCTGCTTCAGAGAACACTTTCTCGAAAAGCTGCTCCGAACTGCTGCTCCCAGACTGCGCAAGCTGTAGACAAGATAAACCAAATACACACACACACACACACACACACACACACACACGCACACGCACACGCACACGCACACGCACACGCACACGCACACGCACACACACGTGCACACACACACACGTGCACACACACACACGTGCACACACACACACGTGCACACACACACACACACACACACACACGTGCACACACGCACACATGCATACACGCACACATGCATACACGCACACAAGCATACACGCACACGTACACACACACGTACACACACATGTACACACGCACACATACACATTTGATGATATTGTACAAATTTTAACCTGAAGGGCGTAAGGATTTATAGATCATTTGGAAAACAAGCGAAGTGAAGAGTTAACAATGTTATACGGGGACCTGTCGTGCCTCAGGAAATTGAGCAAAAACCGCCGTTGACGCGAGTGCTCGCGGGTGTGTATGTAAGTATGTGTATTTATATGTTTCATTCAGAATCAGATCCGCTATCATTGCTATAAGAGAACATCTGTGGGTGTGCCATGCAGTGCATTTGTAGACTTGTGTGCTTCTCTTGCGACTGGCGTGTACATGGTACACGCACGGTACATGTGGGCTTAGAGCCTCAGAGACACTGGGGTGAATAATGTAGTGTGGCGGTGGGGCCCATTAAGTTCAGCCGACCAGAGGTCTCAGCTTCATAGCATAATTGCATATGCATGGACTAACCAGTGCAGTGACCTACAGCTATAGTCCATTCAGAAAAAGATGAACACTGGCTCTCCCGTATTTGGTGATTTTTCGTGATTTATGGTACACTGTGGAGTGCCGTGAGATTTGAAACTTGAAAAAGGGTCCAAAAAAGGTACCTCAACTGGGGTTCGAACCGCAACTGTACTGTTACGCTAGTGGAGCGAACGGCCTGGATTTTCAATTCAGTACTTTGGGGGCAACACCTGGCCGAAATCCTATTGTTGTTATGGCTTGCTCTTTGAAGAAATAGACTTCAAAAACATAATTGGAAGAGCATTCCATGGGGATTGCCGAAAAATTGGACAAAAACTCAAAATTTGACCCATTTTTGGCCCAAAGCTAGGATATCATCTTTTTCTGAATGGACTGTAAGACAGGGCTGGGGCAATACACACACGGTAGCCAAACAGTTGCAGAACTTGCCAGACGGCAGCATGCAATCCCCCCCCCCCCCCCCACCAGCATGTTGTGCCACACATGATTATACTCCCCACTAAACTACCATGCTGCAGCTATTTACACTTTGCTTTGAGAGTATATAAACCAATACTGATCCAGATTTCTCATTACTGTTTTCTGATGATCGCTTAGTGCGTGAAACTCGGAGTAAAAACACTTTCTCTGTCCTCCTATTGTTTGAACCAGCTCTACCTCTCGGTGTTGAGCACTCTCTTGGACAGCCTGGAACCTCTCTGTTTTAACACCACTACTATAAATAGACTCACATCAAGACTAACACCCGATCCATGCGATGCTCGATGTTGCAGCTGCTGCTGTTGAAGTTCGTGCTGCTGCTGTTGCTGCTGTTGCTGCTGCTGCTGTTGCCGTATCTGCTGCAGCTGATGCTGTATATGTTGGGTGGATGATCCGAACATAGCGCCCGAGTCCACCAGAGAGCCAGGGCAACTTCGCTGCTGTAGAAGAGGTGCATGCATCGGTCGTTGCTGCTGCTGTTGCAGCTGCTGCTGCTGCTGTTGCAGCTGCTGCTGCTGCTGCTGCTGTTGCTGCTGCAGAGTGACATGGTTTATGAGCTGTTGTGATGAAGACGTGTTAAGCTGCTGGGGCATCTGCAGTTGTTGCTGCTGCTGCTGCTGCTGTGGCAGCTGCTGCGTACGGTAGAGCGGATCCACAGTCGTATCCATGCCAGTATTCCGTGGTAGGGTTTCGGATTTGATCGGCGTATCCATGCCAGTATTCCGTGGTAGGGTTTCGGATTTGATCGGCGTTTGATTCCTTGTCAGTGTGTCATCCTTTTCCTCCAGTTTCTCATCTCGTTTCAGTGTGTCGTCGTTCGACGTGGCGGCCAGTGACGCCTCTCCGCGTTTCAGCGTGTCGTCATCAACGACGTCACCGGAAGCTGTCCGTCCTGCAGACGAGGTAATGCCGCTGCTGGAGTTTGTGCCACCACCGCCGCTCCCAGCAGACGTCATGGAGGCCGGCGTGGCAATACCGGACACGGGCGGACCCATTTGCATGGACATGGCCGCATCCAGCTGTTGCTGCTGCTGATGTTGAGCATTTGAATACTGCAGTGACAGAGAGAGAGGAAGCAACACAGGGACACAAACAGCATATTCAAGATCATTGTGCAGAGAAGAGAACCGATCTGCTGTCCGGATTTTTATGAGAGAGGGAGAGGTTGGGGGTGGGGTCAGGGGTGGGCGAAGGAGTGAGAGATTGACAGATATATTCTCTCTGGTATCCTCCCTATGCCTGGGGCAATGTACTGGACTATTTACAGGCTGCAGCAGCATTGCATATCAATACCTGCAATACTAAGCACTAGACACAGCTGATAGGCATAATACACATGACCACCAAAGACAAGACAGAAACATTTGAAATAACACGCCTTCAGTGTACAGTAGACACACATAAAAAATGTGACAATAGTGTGACGATAGCATGACAAAAATAATAAAATTGTAATATTTGCAACATCACTTGAATGTTCAGAAACACACGCCTTTGCATCCACTGGCCACCACTATGCCTGTACACTTTAGTGGTCATGCAGATCATAGTCACAGTGTACATGCAGATAGGTACTGTAAAATGATATACAAATTTTCGGCAGCTATTTAAATTTGGCTATATTCGGCACCGACCCAAAACGCCTAAATTAAAACGCCGATGAAATTTTTCACAGCATCTGTCGCACTATACCATGCCCTCTACCCCACGCCGAAAATAAATCGCTGGCGAAATGTCAAAAATCGTGAAGTGCCGAAATTTTGTATATTTACAGTAGGCCCTGGATTATAGGCTGTATACATGTTGTTGGTTGGGAGCATGTTACAAGGCAGTAATCAACAACATTTCAACAAAAACAGGTTTATCTACTTCAAAATAATCCCCCCCCCCCCCTCACTAGGCTTTGTAAGCCATGATATGTAGGTAGGTAGGCACTAGGCTATCTACAGGCTGTAGTGGCAGCATAAGCTGCTGCAATAGTAGGTAATAGATGGCTTATTATGTAAGCTTGTGCATTGGCAGAGCTGACATGCTGTGTCAAAAACACTGCTCCTGACTACAACTTACAAGTACAGCACCATAGCTAGCTGAGGAGGTCAGTGAATTCACTGAAGCATGACACAGCCACTCCCACACACAGACAGACAGCTGTTGACAACAGACTGGGCTAGGGCCAACATACATCAGCCTGTAACACACTAGTACCACTGAATGTAGGTTCTCAAAAAGTCTATCACCTATGACCGCCCACGAAAAAAGTGCAGAACTCCGTCATGCATGTCCTAAGAAAACACTACGTAGCAGACACCATGTCACTACGGTATTGAGGTATTGTCTACTATTGACCGTACCACTATTTGCCCCAAGTACCCCGTGAATCAATAAAATGCACTGATTTGGGCTCTAAATTTCCAAAATTTTCTGCTCAGCCACGCCTCCCCCACGAGTAAATGAGTAAATTGTACTTCAGATGGCTGACCATACCACACTAAATCATCACCTTCCGACGCCCCTGTTATACCTGGCTTGGATAGAAGCCTAGCCTGATGTTGGTTTCTACAGGAGTAAGCCCAGCGTTTACATGGCACATTACATGGCACATTACAGTAACCATTACGTAAGAGGAGCTAAAATAGAAAGTTGGCTGCTCCCACACTGGAGCTACATCTACATGACACTTACCTGACTTTGAGATAACATAATCATTGGTAGTACAGGGATGATTTTACTGTCATGCTGTTGCAGAGCAGTTTTCGCTATGCAAAATCTCAGTTGTGGCGTAAGCTACAAAAAGCATGGATAGCCTGTCCATGTATGTATGGCAGTTTTCTGCGTGTCACTGTGATTTTTTAGTAGCAGTAGATCGATTTTGCGTAGCAAACTGCGATGCAATACAGGATAAATCCCTGTGGTAGTACGTAGCGCTGCCTTTGACTTTGAGTGTAACGACTAGTGTGTGTAGTGCACAACAAGTACAAGTAGTGCTAGGGCTGCAGCATAACGCCCTACGTTATTTTATTCATGAGGTGGGATTTCTCTGGCTAGAACTGACTGTACCTTTCTTCTTTTTATTTTTTTATATTAATGGCTTTCTCTTTTACCTCGAATGGTTTACAATCTGTATCACAATATTATTATAATGTGGGTTCAGCAATAAAGGATGTGTGACTGTCCTGCACATCATGACATACGAGGAGATTTTCTCACACATAGGTACATGACGTAGAAGATGACAAGAAGGACTTAGGTACTGGCCGGAGAAATCCAACCTCATGAATGAACTAGCACAAGGCATTACGCAGTCGCAGCCTCAGCACTACACACACTGTTCTGTGGTACTCTCAAACTACTCTATTCATGAGGTCTGGACCATAATATTATTATTTTCAAAATGAGACGTGATCAGCAAAAACAGACCTATAGGTCAAATTATTCGAAATGGTTTTTTTTGGTGGAAATTGTTTACTTGTATACAAAAAAAACAATTTCCAGCAAAAAAACATTTTGAAAAATTTGACCTATCGGTCTGTTTTTGCTGATCACAGCTGAAATAATGTTGATCCACCCAACTTCAGAGGTCTTTCGTCAATAACATTCATTTCCAGGTCAAGTATCCTTTTTGGCTAGACAACCTGAAATCTTTCCTGCAGTGAGCTTTCGGCCATATTGTCAGGTTATTCCTGTGGACTTAATCCCATTGTATAGACCTTTGCAAGAGTATTATCCGGGTTCATCAGGACGATAGAGTAAAGCGCGAGCATGGATCGGTTGCGTTCGTGTTCCAGTCAATAATGCTGTTCAACATTGTGCGATGTGATCCGGAACACTGGTCTGTGATGGAATAGACTGCGGCAGATACGACAGCACTTGTGATACTGACGCTAGAATCCGATGTAATCTGGGACACTGGTCTGTGACGGGATAGACTACGGCGGAGACGACAGTGTTTGCGGTATCGACACTGGTGCACGAGATCAGGCTTGCAGGCTTATACAGCAATCATGCCTATATTGTACGTCGCTTCACCTTCTCTATCTCGCCATCTCTTGCATCTCACCAGCTTTTGCAGCTTATCAAGTCTCTCATTGCCTCTTGCACCTCAGGAGTCTACCATTAGTGCCGGTTCTCTCCGCATGACTCTGTCGTTAGCGTCCGTACCTCTATCATTAGATTCCTTTTTTCCTCACGAGTTTATCATTAACGCTTGCACCTCATCAGTCTGTCGTTAGCTTTTGAACCTCACACGACTGTTACTAGCGTTCGTACTTAACGAGTTTACCATTAGCTTTAGTATTTCACAAGTTGACCATCAGCTACTGTACCTAATGAGTCTGTCATTAGGTTTATCATTAGCATTCGTACCTCACGAGTCTGTCATCAGCTTTAGCATCTCCCACAGTATGTCCATCACCTTGCACCAAATCTATGTCACCAACGCCTGCATCTCACCAGCTACTGCACATTGAGAGTCTACCGCTAGCTGTTGTGCCTCACGAGTCTGTCGTCAGCATTTGCACCTCACAAGTTTATCATCTTAGTGTCTCACGCGTCTGTCGTTAGCTTTCGTACCTCACGTGTGTTACGAAATCACACCCTTTCCGTTCCCCGGGACGGAGGACACAAAGAACAAGGCTACTTTGTGTACGTTATTGTAAATTCGAAAACAAAATTTGACGGGTTCGCGTACCGGGCAGGTCAAGAACAAGGAGTCATACACTCCCTGGTCAAACCACCTTTCCGCTTCCGTGGGACTCCACCACCCCATGATCAGGCGTCAGATGCGGCTCCTAAACGGTGGGGGAGGATAGATCAGATCCACCAACCATAGGCCAAAGGCCTAAATCCCATTTGTCACATCCATGTTATAACATGACGGGAAAACAGGGACAACAGCTCCCACGAGACGAACAAGAAGACTGAAAACAGAACTCTTGACTACAACATGGCGCATGCTCGTACCACACATGCACGCGACTAGACGAAGACAGTTTGGGGAATGTCATCATACAGGAAAACAATACATCGCTTCCTGACTGTCATTAGCCTTTGTGCCACACGGGTTTACTATTAGCTGTTCAACTTCAGGACTCTGTCTTCACCGTTTGCACATCAGTTGTCAGCTTTGTATCTCCGGCAGGAGTCTGTCATTGGCTTCGTACCACAGAAGTCTCTATTAGTGTTTACATCTCGCCTGTCTATCGTTAGCTTTTCCACACAACTGCTGTTGGTACAAACGGTGTGTACTAGCTCCTCCGTCAGTCACCTCTGGACAGCAGCGCAGTGAATTCTCGGCCGTATAGTGCGCGCGAATTACAGGATACAAAATGCTACGATCGCGTGATGAACCCAGAGAAATACTCTTGCAAGAGGTCTCGAAACAAACAAATCAAAACAAAACAAATGACAACAACAACAAACGAAAAACGGCTCTGACAGCCTAATCTTCACTGTGTGTTCTCTATGTCGCCCTCTCTCACTATCTCACCCTCTGTAGTGTGTGTGTGTGTACATGCCAGGAATCAGTGTACATCTCAGGTCTGTCAAGGACCAACGACCAGTGTACATTTCAAGTCCCTCAACCAGGACCAACAAACTGCATACACCTCAGGTCCTTCAAGGACCAACAAGTATACATCTCAGGTCCCTCAAGGACCAACAGACAGTATACAATGTACATCTAGGCCTCTCAAGGACCAACAGACAATACATCTCAAGTCTCTCAAGGACCAACAGACAGTACACATCTCAGGTCTCTCAAGGAACAACAAGTATGCATCTCAAGTCCTTCAAGGACCAACAAGTATACACCTGGGGGTCCCTCAAGGACCAACAGACAGTATACAATGTACATCTCAGGTCCCTCAAGGACTAACAGACAGTATACATAACAGACTCAACATGCTCTTGCGGACCAACAACCAGTACACATCTTGGGTCACTCAACATGCTCTGGGGGACCAACACACTCTGGCAGATTACCAGGTGACACACATTCGAGAGAGAAACACTCTTTGTCAACTACAGGTAGTATGAAAACATTCACGATCAATGAAAACATATAAGTACACCGAGCGAAAACATATATACACCAAGTCCTGTTACATCTTTGTAGTCACAGAAAATTACGACATTCGTTTTGATGAAAACATTATAACACACTGGGTGAAAACGTATATATCTAAGTCCTGATATATCTTTGTAGTGGCGTAAAATTACGACTTTCGCCTTTGATGAAACAATATAATACACTGAGTGAAAACTTATATTATACACTTTTAAAAGTCCTGATATATCTTTGTAGTAACGTAAAATTAAGACTTTCGCCTCTGATGAAAACATAATTCTAGGACACTGAGTCTTGTTGTAGCATTGTTCACTGGCAGAGGGAAGGGAAAAGGGAAAAAGTCATATTCAGCACTGTGGTCGGTACAACACCCAAACTCATCACACAGCACACAGGAAGGAGGGTGCATTTAATCAATACAGCAACGAAGACTTCAGCACGATACTGGACACTGCGCTGGCTTTCAAGCACTCAGGATGCATCAGATAGGTTGATATTCACATGATAAACCCTGTGTTCACAAACACTAACTTGTTACGGCATCAAGGGCACTACTACACAGTACACAAACTGATAACAAAATACAGCGCAGCGAGACTCGGTTTGATTGCAAATGTGTACAGCACAATACATTTGTACATCTACATCTACCTTTCTTCTTCTTTTATTACATCATCAGTGATCTGCATAACACAGTTCATAACACCATTCACTGCTCAGGACATACAACGACAGGCTACAACAGGGGGGACGGGGGGGGGGGGGGGGGGGGGGATGACAATGCTACAACAGGGAGGGGGGGGGGGTTAAAGGTGGAGGAGTGAGGATAACACGGCTACGAGGCGGGAGGGGGGAGAGAGGGTATGTTAGTCCTTTTCACAATGCCACAACTCCATTTCTCTCGATCAGTCAGATTCACTTTCGACTTCCATAACGCAGACTGGACTGGCAGGAGGATTTGTGACCTGATCATTCTGCGCTGCTGGTTCATCGGACACTGCCAGCTCGTTGTCGGGATCTGTCGAAGTTACAGCAGTTGCCGAAACGAGATCAGGGCAGGTAGGTTCGGGGAAAGGAAAATCTGCTGGGTAGCAGTGTACAACCCGATGCTTTTCGCATGGTTCGGAATAGGGAGACAAGCGGAGCGGTGGCGAATCTGGACCGGCCCATTTGGCATCCTTCAAGGCCAGCGGCTTTAAAAAACATTTCCGCCTCCGATCCTTCCTCTTAAAACTGAGAAACTGCAACTTCGGGTCTGGCAAACCAGCCAATATGTCATTCTCACCACCACCGCGAGTCGGAGGACTTACCGGTGATGGAGGCGGCGCCGCTGATCCACAAGTGCCAGGCGCGGCCGGGCCTGCGAGCGTGTAGCTGGTGCAGCTGCTCGTCTGGCTGCTTGGCAAACTCTCCTGCTGCTGGCTGCTGCTGGTGCTTGCCGAGCTGTGGGGACGCGACGCTAGCGATCCGGACGCTCCAAACACCTCGCTGTTGCCGACTGCGGAAGGCACAAGGAATCGACAGCAGCAGTACAGTTACGGTATTTTTCAGGAGTATAAGCCCCACTGGGGTATAAGCCCCACTGGGGTATAAGCAGCACTCACCCCCCCCCCCATTTTTTTGCCACGAAATACAGACATCTACACTATTTTATCACCGCTCTCTTGATCATCGGAGTATAAGCTGCACCCCTGTTTTTGGGTGAATTTCGAGTGCTCAAAGCGCGGCTTATACTCTGGACAATACGGTACAAACTTGACAATGTGAAACAAGCGTCACAGTGAAACTCTTTAAATATACAGATTCGGCAAAGCTGTAACAGTTATGACGTATGACTGCACGTACAAATACCATGGCTCGGATTTTCCTCCCACGATCCAAGTCACTGCTTGTCTCTTGTTAGAAAGAGAGAGGAAGAGAGAAAGAGAGAGAGATGGAGATCAAGAGGAGATAGAGAGAGAGAGAGAGAGAGAGAGAGAGAGAGAGAGAGAGAGAGAGAGAGAGAGAGAGAGAGAGAGAGAGAGAGAGAAAGAAAGAGAAAGAGAGAAAAGAGAGAAAGAGAGAGAAAGAGAGAGAAAAGAGAGAGAGAGAGAAAGAGAGAGAGAGAGAGAGAGAGAGAGAGAGAGAGAGAGAGAGAGAGAGAGAGAGAGAAAGAGAGAGAGAGAGAGAGAGAGAGAGAGAGAGAGAGAGAGAGAGAGAGAGAGAGAGAAAGAGAGAGAGAGAGAGAGAGAGAGAGAGAGAGAGAGAGAGAGAGAGAGAGAGAGAGAGAGAGAGAGAGAGAGAGAGAGAGCAAGACTGAGCGCAACTTACAGAATATATCGTCGTTGGTGAGTGTTGGCATTGACATGGTCGACGTCATACCTCCTGCACCATGCATCATTCCACCACCTGGCTGCTGGCCCAGGCTCTGCCGCTGCTGGTGCTGGCCAATGGCCATCCGATACTGCTCTCCAAAATGCTCCATCTGCATCTGCATCTCTGCGTCTCTCGACACCGTGCCCGGTTGAAGTATGCCAAAAACTACGACAGGGTGAGTAGAGCAACAGAAGTGGAAGTAACAATACACATGCTATCAGACACTACCCACAACTCACTGGCAGTTAGGAAATTGGGTGAACGGGGAGAACGACAAGCAGAATAATTCCATTTACATGCCTATAGAGGTTTTGCAAATGATTTCATCGAGATTTCAAACGGGCACAAGTACACAAGCGTGAGTAAGCAGATTTGTCTGACGGGTACACGCGAGTCAAAAGTGCAAGTGCAGCGCTGTGCTGTGAGTCCACGACTTTACCGAAGCATCTCAACTGTAATCGCATATCCTCTATAGGAAAACAAATTTTCTAAATGACGATTGAGATCTCTACAACAGGTTGTTTATAAGGAAAGCCCGGTTGCATGGTTTTAAATCTGTGTCAATCTAGATTTTTCACAGCAGAAGAAAAGTGCATGAGATGAACAACAACAGTAGAAGAGAGAAGGAGAGAAACAGCGAGGGCAGGAGAGAGAGAGAGAGAGAGAGAGAGAGAGAAAGAGAGAGAATGAAAAGAGAGAGAGAGAGAGAGAGAGAGAGAGAGAGAGAGAATGAAGAGAGAGAAAATGAGAGAGAGGATGAGAGAGAGAGAGATAAGACAAAAGGATAGATGACTTACAGCCACTTGCTGATGAGCTACGGACATGACCACGGGCGTGAGGATGAGCTGCAGCCGGGTCACCACCACCCAGCAGAGATTGTGAGGAGGTGGTGTTAACTGCAGCACTGGTCATACCAAAGGATGCACCAGATAAGCTCAGTTTGCGGTTCAGATCCATCGACGTAGACACGGCAGCGTCCAGAATCTGGTCCAGGTCCTGCTGGGAGGAATACTGTGAAGGCGCAGGGGAACTCGGCATAGAGTTAGGATTGGACATGGCGCCGGTGAAACCGCGACTTGAACGCCGTTTATTGCGTACTGGCGGCGAGGGAGTGGGGTGATAAGATGCACCGGCTGCCATCGCCGAGGCCGAGGCACGGCGCTGAATGGTTGCCTTGGCGTTGCTCATGGCAGCGGATTGATGCGCGTGCTGCTGGTGTTGCTGCTGCTGCTGCTGCTGGTGTTGCGCAGACCAGTGTGTGGCCTGCATCGACTGTGCAGCCTGCACTGCCTGTGCGTACTGCTGAGGAAGCATGCTTCCGACGCCCACCGCCGACATGCCTGGCTGATGCAGCTGCTGCTGATGATGTTGATGTTGGCCGTTGAGGGCTGGGCTGGACAGGTGCTGAGATAGATATTTGCCGCCCAGTCCGCCATTACCGCTGCCGATACCGATGCGAGCGTTGTTTTCCGCCGCAGTGCCCTTCGAAGATGTGCCTCCTTCCTCTCGTACTTTGTCTTCCTCGATCCTAGCCTTGGTCTGTTCCATTTCACGCTTTAACTGCAAAGTGAAGAACGGCGGAAAGAAACCAGATGTGGACATTATAAGTACACACGTGTCCATGGGCAGGCATGCACACAGACAGACAGACTGGCAGGATGCACAAACTCATACAGACAGACAGACAGAGAGACAGACAGACAGACAGGCAAGCAGGCAGGCAGGCAGGCAGGCAGGCAGGCAGACAGACAGACAGGCGGGCAGACAGACAGACAGGCGGGCAGACAGACAGACAGACAGGCAGGGATGGACACACTCATACAGACAGACAGACAGGCAGGCAGGCAGGCAGGCAGGCAGGCAGGCAGGCAGGCAGGCAGGCAGGCAGGCATGTAGGCAGGCAAGCAGGCAGGCAGACAGACAGACAGACAGACAGACAGGCAGACAGACAAGAATGCCTGTTCTATGAGCCTCGTCCTGACCATGTGGTCTCGGACCCCACATCGACATGGCACGCAGACTATGATTAACAATAAAGACGTTTGCAAGAGGAGGACGATGGCACAAGCATGATGGTGTGTCAAGTCGTTACACACAGCAGGGTCGTAGTTTGTCCCCCTTTTGGAGGGGGGGGGGGGGCACTGCAGCGTATGTGTAGGATGGCTGGTGCATGTGCATGTCACTCATGGTTATTCTGTGCATGCTGATCAATGGTCGAAATTCTTAAGGGGGTGGGGGGGGGGGGAGGGAGGGGGTACACATGCACCCCTCCCTACCCCCCCCCCCCCCCCCGCCATGCGAGCCACGCGCCTGCACAGCTTACGTGTGACATAAGCTTCTGCTGACGTTCCGACGGCAGTAGGTTCAGTGGCTCCAGGTCATGTGGGTTGTTTATCAGATCACGCAGGGCTGTGGTTATCGTATCCTGGTCGCTTACGTTCGCAGCATTCACACTTACACCCGCCGAGAAGTAAGGGGGTGTTGAACGGGGCCGATCCAGCGTGGAGTTTGGAGATATACTCTGAGTATCGGTGGTCATCGACATTGGCGAGTGATGCATCTCGTTGGCGTCTGTACACAACAACATAGCAAATAGGCAGCATCTCGCACGGTCAGAGAAAGGATGACGAACAACTGGTTCACTCACAATGCGAGAGAATTAGCACGCACGAATACATACACACGCGCATGCGCACACCATGTACACGCACACACGCGCGCGCACGCGCATGCACACACACTACACACATACACACGCACACATGCACACACACGGCAGGTTGGCTCCGACACCAGTCAATCCCTGCATCTATGGGTGACATGATATCGGCCATGTTGGTTCCACTGTCCGCATGCCATGCAGAATATCTACTTAAATTCAGTAGTAACCTTTACCTCTTTTTATGAAAGCGCACCTCCTTACATAGGACGGAGGAGAACAACAAAGACAATAGTGAACTGCAATGGGCGTGTAGGTGCTATGAAAGCTGTGCAGGTGAGGTGAAGTGCACGCAACTGACCAAGATGAGAAACCAGTCACAGCATGTCACTGTAGTAATAGTAGTATTAGTATGGTTTACTGACACATTGGTTGCTCTAATGAATACTGCAAAACCACATATTTCAACGTCAATTTAAGTTAACGATCTCTGGAATTTTGTTGGTTAGCGAGGTGAAAGTTTCATGAATTCCAGCAGTCAAAACTGGTTAATGATTGCATTTGTACTTGGTTTGTACATGACGACTTCAAAATCTTACGATTTTGCTAACTTGTAACATGGAAATTAGGTGTGGGCACAAGTTATGCGATCGATCGCATAACTTGTGCCCACAATGTCCACTAATTGTTTCCTTGGCTCACCATCCGAATTCTTGATTTCGCTAACACTAGTTATCTTAGGGAGTAAAGGCAACATAGCATTGCTGAACACCCTGCACTCACCACGCTCCGTTTCCTTCATATAGTCTAGCAGGCGGGACAGCAAGGTATCACGCGTGCCTGTGATCGGTAGCTGATATGCTCGAAGTACGTCCTTGAGTTCCGACACCGTTTTGCTGCTCAGGTCGGCTGAAGAATCACACGTGTGTGGAGACACATGCACACATACACACATACAGACCACCGTACAGCATGCACACAGACACACCAGACACACATGCATAGCGACACACCATGCACACAGACACACACGCATAGCGACACTCATGCATAGCGACACACATGCACACATATGCACATATGCACACAGACACACATGCACAAGTCATTCATATACCAGTACACATACAGACAACAGTACGGGCCATCCCTGGCTAGTAGATAGTCTTCGAGACTTATCTTGTAACATGACTGTCAACTGAAGGTTAAATAGGCACGAACTTGTACTCACATGGCCTATCCTCAATACAACATAATTTATCAGCACTTCAACTTGTTATTTATATAACTGAAAATCTCCGGCACAGTTGTTTCTTGCATACAAAAGATCTGATATTTCTATAAAAACACAGACAGATGACATTGTGTATTTCTGTTTTAACCCTTAGCGGTGCATCAGTCATTAACGACTGAGTCAGTGGCACCTCAAAGGGTTAACAAGGCTATTTCAACCTTGGTCCTGAATAGACAATTTTATCTTATACTGAGGGTGTGGCACTCCACGGACATAGCCCAGGGGTCGTTATAACGAGTTTTATGTACCAACGGATTATGCTGTAACCGGACTTGTAAACAGTTGCACAGACCACATTTGGCCAAAGGATTTCAGATTTCTATTCACTAATGGGGTTTATGTGCTAACCGGACTCGTTACAACAAGGGAAGACCTGTACACATACGTTCTTTGTTCTGTCCCGTTTTGGCGTTGCGATGGGTGCAGGGTTCGCCGCTGCGTGTACCACTGGGATGGCAGGCATCACGAAACTCCGTAGAACGCATGTCTGGAGTCACCACTTTAAGGGGTTTTACGTCGGCCTTAGACAATGGCTGCAATGGCCAACCGTGCAACAGAGAAGTTCAGGCCAAAGGGCGGCAGGGCGTTTCAGCAGTTACCCTGACTCTCCTGGCAATATAAGCATCTCTGACCTCTGCAGGTATCACACCCCATGTGACAAGAGAGGGTGTGGATCTCAAAGTTGTGCGGGTAAAGAGAATCATGGTAGAACACTAAGAAAGTGGGAGACGTAGACACACGAATCAGAATGCACCCAACTTACAGCTACGGCTCTTCGTTAGGTGCGGCCCATTTCCCTCGGCAACACTGACAGTGTGGAACATCTGTAGGGAGACAGACAAGGCCAAGTCGAATGTGAAGAGCATTAGTAAAAATAACATACACAAGAGAGAGATTGGAAGCTTTGTTACAATTCTGAGAACATAGTTATTAAAAAATCTGAGTCTGCTATGTAGTTATTATAAAAATAACATTGTTACTTTCTCACCTCATCATTTTTTTCTCTTCGCCCACCCCTGTTATTAGTTCACACTTCTCTAGTCTTTCACACTTCACCTTCTTTTCTCCTATTTTTCTTTCACACGGTGCATTTCGTACTCTTCCACGTACCTACAGTAAAACCTGGTTTAAGTGACCACCCCACGGTGCAAGCAAAAGCGGTCGTTAAAGCCAGTTGGTCCTTAGAACCAGGTCCCACAGTGTCTGTGTAGAACTGTCCGTGCATGGAAAAACGGTCGTTAAGAGCAGGTGGTCGCTAAACACAGAGGTTGTTAAGAGCAGGTGGTCGCTAAACACAGAGGTCGTTAAGAGCAGGTGGTCGCTAAACACAGAGGTCGTTAAGAGCAGGTGGTCGCTAAACACAGAGGTCGTTAAGAGCAGGTGGTCGCTAAACACAGAGGTCGTTAAGAGCAGGCGGTCGCTAAACACAGAGGTCGTTAAGAGCAGGCGGTCGCTAAACACAGAGGTCGTTAAGAGCAGGCGGTCGCTAAACACAGAGGTCGTTAAGAGCAGGCGGTCGCTAAACACAGAGGTCGTTAAGAGCAGGCGGTCGCTAAACACAGAGGTCGTTAAGAGCAGGTGGTCGCTAAACACAGAGGTCGCTAACACCAGGTTTTACTGTACTCTTGTTTATTGCTAGATTTCATTATTGACACGTATTTCCCTGATGAATGTCTCTAGAAAACTTGTTAGGAAATTTTATTATCCGTATTTTATTCTTGTTGATTACTACGTCCAATGTCCTCTTCGCTGATTCTGCTGATTGCTATACACTCATTGCCGAAGATGCGTTGCCATGGTGCAAAAAAATGGCGTTGGATGGCTACGCCTGAGCGCTCGTGCTGTCATCGCAGCCCACGACACGTCTTCCTGCTGTGCTTTCTTGACAAATTTCGTTTTGTTTTGTCTTGTTTCTGGAGGGTTTGATTCTTTGAGATACTGTAGAGCGATTTGGAGTTAGTCAGCCGAGAGTAGTCGTGAGAAATGGAGAAAGAACGTGAGAGAACCTGGACTGCGGATCAAGTCGCTCTGTTCCAGCGGCGGTGAGCAGAGGGTTACGATCTGCCCAGGCACGTCGCTCCTGATTATTTCGAGTGGCTCAAATGTGCAAGTGGCACTCGAAACCAGCGCTGCGCAGAGTGCCAATGCCAGTGTTCCTACCTGGACTGCGGATAAAGTCGCTCTGTTCCAGCGGAGGCGAGCAGAGGGTTACGATCTGCCCAGGCACGTCGCTCCTGATTATTTCAAGTGGCTCGATGTGCAAGTGGCACTCGAAACCAGCGCTGCGCAGAGTGCCGACGTTCCCGCCAGTGTCGCTGCTTCAGCCGGGCTGGCGCTAGCGTCTCCAGTGCAAGCAGTATACCTAGTAGTTGAAACCACTCCTGAACCTGCTGTAAAACCCGCCGCTATTTCAGGGCCAGTGCAAACAGCAGCTGATGCTGCTACTGAAGGGGCCACACGTTCACTTCTGTCCAGCTCTGTCCTGCGCGCTCCCACCTCTTGTAGGGATATCATGCGCTTACGCATGCAAGGGCTGCGCCAACTTCGCAAAGACTTCAATATTCCCTACCAAGGGCGTGTATCCAGACGTGATCTTTGCCTTCTCATCTGTGATCATTTCCACTTGAGTACTGCTGGCGAAGGTGTTCCAGACGAGGAGGCAGACAAGCCTGCATTACCAGAGCCAGTAATGGCAGCGTACAAGAAGCTACCAAGCTTTTCACACATAGCCTCTAGCTGGTCTGTATCTCGCCTAACTAAAATCCCTTTCTTCACTACTGAGGCTGTCAAGCACTATCTGTTAAATTCTCCGGACACAGATTATGACAAGGAGAGCTTGCAGTGCTACAGGCAACTTCGTGCGTACCAATTATTTGATGAGCACCACCTTCACAAGTTGGAGGGAAACCTGTTTGCAGGCTAGGATAGCACCGATTTTTAAGAACGGTCTTGGCTGGATATTTTGAGGATAAGAACGGAAACCGTAATGTACACTATAATGTGCACTCAGAAGCATAACTCTACATAAGAACGAAGCTGCTGTGTTTGCGAAAATTACGAACGGGCTAGGCTAGAACCCTGACCCCGACCACCCCGTTCTTCGGCGCCCGAAAGTACTCTAATTTCAGAATATTTCGGCGCTCACTATTTTCGGTACGAGGGCAAAAAGGCCAGGTTAGGTGAACAGAAAATTTCGGTACAGAGAAGCTGTTCCCTATTGGATTATGTGTGTTAGTGTTTGTTCGGTGTATTGAAATTTTAGGTATGAAACAGACGCACCGAAAGTACCGAAAATAAAAGTACACCGAAAATTTGTGAAATTACAGTAACTCAGTACAAACGTACATGTATGACTGTACCAACGAATAAGAACGAAGCTGCTGAGTTTGCGAAAAATACGAACGGGCTAGGCTAAAACCCTGACCCTGACCCCCCGACCCCCCCCCCCCCGTTCTTCGGCGCCCGAAAGTACTGTAAAACCTAATGTTCAGAAAAATGAACGGCTTTGTATCAAGCTTCTGTGGCTACAATGTCCTACTTTTCAAGCTCTAACTGATGCAAGGTAATCAACGCCTTACTCGATTGCCAGCTGCCGAAGCCGCTGCCACAGTTCCGGCCGTCGGCGAGGCGTCGTCGCCTTTAGCGGGCGCACCGTCCGGATCGGCTATCAGCATCTGCAAGCGCACAAACAGCGTCTGCTGCTTCAGAAGCAAACCGTAGTTATCCAAAGGTTTGGTAGTATCTGTCATGGCACCACCGCTACCGCCGTCATCAACAGTGGCAATGTTGCCGCCGCCTTGGTTGCCGTTAGCGACGCCAGATGAATTCGTCGTTGACGAAGAGGCGGCACCGCTGGAAGACACGCCTGCTGATCTGACTGTTCTGTCCTTAGGAGGTTTCTTCTTGGGTGGCTCGGGCATTGGTTCTGGCTTGTTGCCACCTTTCGTTGGCGGCTGGAACGGATGGTACTTGAACGTTTTCGTCTGCGCACGCGCACACACACACACACACACACACGTTTGTACACAGGACACACAGAGGCACAGGCGGGCAGGCACACACAGAGACACAGAGGGAGTCATAGAGAGACACATAGGCACACACACAGAGACACACATACGGACAGACACACACACACACACACACGTACACACACACACACACACACACACACACACACACACACACACACACACACGTGCACCCATACTCACATATTCTCCATAATCCAGCATGCGTGCACATTTACACCAATAGTATGACCTAACAGATTCCACTTGGAAGCCGATGGGAAACAACACATAGTGCACTCCATGAAGTTATCCTTCTAATTTGTCTTGGCAGCCTGAAGGATTGGAAACGGAGCAACTGTCTTCACAGCCTCAAGGATTGGAAACGGAGCAACTGTCTTCACAGCCTCAAGGATTGGAAACGGAGCAACTGTCTAAACAGCCTCAAGAATAGGACATGGAGAACTCTCCACAGCTTCAAAAATTGGATACCAAGCAACTGTCTCCACAGCCTCAAGGACTTGAAAAGAAACGGCTGGTTGTGCTTCCGAGTCCTGCCCCGTACCAGTTTAGAACAGCTCAGAGTCAACAATACAGAGGGAGGGGGGGGGGGTGACGATTTCCAAACACAGGGAGGACTGGGAAAGCATAACACTGCTAAGTACAGCTCATACAGGCATATACACCATGCTCACGTGCATACCCCCCCCCCCCCCCCCCACACCCACACACATACATACATACACACACACACACACACACACACACACACACACACACGCGCACGCACGCACACACGCGCACGCACGCACACACACACACACACACACAGCCCTGAACTCGCAAGGCAACGAAAGGTCATGAACATTAGAAACTAACCTTTGATTTCATGGGCTTTTTCTTCTTCTCCCTAGGTGAAGAAGCTGGTTTCTTTGCACTGCCGCCACTCTGAGGGGCTGAAATCGTTACATTTCCTGGCTGCAGATGGCCCGTTAGCTGTTGATGCTGGTTCTGCCCGGCTAACTGCTGTGCACGCTGTTGTGCGCGCATTTGCTGCTGAGCCATCAGACGCTGCTTATGCAGCAGCATTTCCGGTGGCATGTGCTGCATTGGCATGTGCTTCCGTGCGCCCTGAGCTGCTTCGAAAGCCGCCGCCGTTTGGTTGTACTGATGTTGTTGCTGCTGCTGCTGCTGCTGGGCTTGCATGGCGTCCATGTTGTAAGCGGAGGCTTGTGCCGCAGCGGCGATCTGGTGATGGTGAGTCGGGTGATGGTTGAGCATCGGCATGGCAGTGGCTGCTGGCGGGACGGTCGCCGAGGCAACCGCACCGTAACCATGACCACCACCGCCGGAGACGTCCATGGCCTGGGCGTCGTGAGCCGACGAGTTCTGCGCTTGCGGCGGCGACAGCTCTGCGGTCTGCAGCTGCGAGTGCCCCGGCTGCTGCTGAAGCCGCTGCTCGTGTAGCAGCTGCTGCTGCAGAAGCTGTTGCTGGTGCTGGATCTCTCTGAAGTGTTGCTGCTGATCAAAACCCGCGGAAGCTGCAGCAACGAGACAAGACCGTGCGTGGACAAATGCATGCGTCCCCTCTGTTAGCAAGACCACCAACAATCTCAACTGTATGGAAATAAGGTTAATGTGCATAGCTTACAACCTGCCTACCCCTTAAATCCGTTTTCACAGAACGTGTTAAGTGCTGCTACACTCATATCTATCTAATCCCCGCAGTCCGGGACACGCACTGCCCTTCATAGCGGTCCCGAGTGCAAGAGAATTCGCAAACCACTGCAGTGCATGCAATAATGCTGAGTTTGTTAGCGAACAGGTGGAATGTCTGCTGGACCTGGGTTGCATTCAAGAAGTGCAAAGGGAGGATGTTGTAGTCACTAGTTTGTTAGGAGCTGTGAACAATGGCACGAAGCCATGATAAACAAGCATTGTTTTCTTGCCGTGGCTGCCCCTGTAGTTGTTTTTTTCTGTGATGAGGTGTGTGTGTGGTGGTGGTGGTGGTGGTGGTGGTGGTGGTGGTGGTGTGTGTGTGTGTGTGTGTGTGTGTGTGTGTGTGTGTGTGTGTGTGTGTGTGTGTGTGTGTGTGTGTGTGTGTGTGTGTGTGTGTGTGTGTGTGTGTGTGTGTGTGTGTGTGTGTGTGTGTGTGTGTGTGTGTGTGTGTGTGTGTGTGTGTGTGTGTGTGTGTGTGTGTGTGTGTGTGGTGTGTGTGTGTGGTGTGTGTGTGGTGTGTGTTCGGTGTGTGTGTGTGTGTGTGTGTGTGTGTGTGTGTGTGTGTGTGTGTGTGTGTGTGTGTGTGTGTGTGTGAGCATGAAAGTGTGTGTGTGTGTGTGTGTGTGTGTGTGTGTGTGTGTGTGTGTGTGTGTGTGTGTGTGAGCATGAAAGTGTGTATGTGTGTGTGTGTGTGTATGTGTGTGTGTGTGTATGTGTGTGCGCGCATGATTGTGTGTATGTGCAGGTATGTGTACAGGTGTATATGTGGTACATGCATGGGAAAAGAAGCGTTCAGTATTTCCCTGCTGCTATTACAGTATGGTATCCGATACAAATGCAAGTCTTCAGGAGACTTGGGGCGCGTTCGAATTGTCACTCTTTGGCTTTTCGAGGAGTTTCGTTTTTCTGAAGAGGTGGCTTCTTGGGCTCTTCAGAAAAACGAAACTCCTCGAAACTCCACAACCTCATCCGGTGGAAGAGGTGGATTAGTTCCGAAGAGTTTGGAATAGCTACATGTCATGTACGTCGAGATGGTCGATCTGATCGGACGTCATTATCGCCATGACAAAGCAGCCTCCGCACTGGGTTCGCTGGTTGCGCCATCCCAACGTGAAACAGCCTGCCAGGACATGTCTTGCGATCTGCACCGCACCCACAACAGCTGCAGTCCTTCAAGGAAGCAACAGACGCTCTTTGACTTCCTTAGCTTAAGTTCTGATTGACCCCCATTTCCCTATCCAACATATATTTTATCTTTATCCTTCGGCAGTGGATGTGTGGGCACTCAAAGTGGGCGCTGCACTTCCGTATACATGCCTTGCTCTCGTCTTGTTTTTCTCTCTCTCTCTGTTATGTCCTTCTCTATTTTCTTGGTGCGTTTTGTTTGTGCAGACACCGAGCCCAACAAGGTCGGCTGAGCAGCAGGGCCCTGCCACTACTTTCCGCATTCATTCGGGAGCATAGTGGACTTAGTTATAAAAAAAAACTAAAAAAACAATTCCACTGAAAAACTCTAAAATGAGCCGTCAGATGCGAAAACCGACCTTATGGAAAAGTCAGCTGAGCTGAGAAAACGCACTCAAAGTCAGCTGACTGTGCACGTGGCATGCGCACTGACAGCACGTGGCGCTTCCTGTTCGCGGCACCCACGCATGTGTAGGCTCGATCTTTCGCTACTGTAGGCCCTGCAGGCGGCTAGCTGATGCTCAGAGCTTGATGCCGGTCTTTAGATGATCGATATCGGCCAAGTATACACAGAGTTATGGCTATTTGAACATCCCACACTTGCCGTGTTTTTGAATATTCGTTCGCAAGTCGAAGTGAAAGTTTGTTCTGTCACTGAGATCGATTTTCTTCGCAATGGCGAGCTCCAAGAAATTTTTCACGGCGAACGAGGCCCTTGCCTCAGTGCTGGATCAGATGAGTGACGAGATCTACGGAGAATCTGATGATGATGGCGGATCTGAGAGCTCCGACAAAGTCATTGCCGCTGACGTCGTCATGGAGGAAAGTGACGAGGAGATGGACGGAACCCTCACTATCTCGACATCGAGGTCGACATCGATGGGTTAGTTGATGGGGCAGCGATTCACCAAACGGATGAACCAGCGGCAGCACCCATAGGAGCAGTGGCAGCAACGCCAGCACCAGTGGCTGTTGCGCTGCCTGCGCCAGCTCCGCTGCCTGCGCCAGCTCCGCTGCCTGCGCCAGCTCCGCAGCCTGCGCCGCCTGCACCAGCTCCGCAGTGTGGATGCACAAAAACTCGCCTCCTCAAATTTTAACTCGGGATATTGCTGCTCATCGGCTCAACATACAAGACGTAGAAAGTTCAGTGCGTGAAGCTATGATCAGTGGTATACTCTTCACCATCAGAAGCACTGCAGTAGCAAATGTGCATGGAGAGGCCAGGGTGAGAGACAACTGGTTTTACAGCTTTCAGCATCAGCCAATTTGTGCTGGTGCTTTTGAGTGTTTGTAGTGCATTGGAAATACTGCACTAAAGAATTTGAAGAAGCATGTCAGGGAAATGGTTGTGTGCCAAGAGTGCATGGCAATGTTGGACGCAAGCCGCACAATGCGCTTAAGTACGAGCAAGTGAAGGTGGTTGCGCAGTTCATCAAGGCGCATACTGAGAAGTATGGCATTCCGCATCCTGCTCCTCTGCGCGGACGTGATGGAACTCCACCGACATTTCTGCCAGCCAGCCAGGGATACCGGAGTGTGCATAAAATCTATTTGGAGTCCTGCACTGAACATGGTGTGAAGGCAGTGGGGTATGACAGTTTTCATTTCGTATGGCATGCGTGTTTCCTTCACTATGTGTTCATGACTCCACGTATGGATGTTTGCTAAACATGTGAGTCACTCCGCCGGGCTGTGTAGGAAGCTCGAGGTGAAGCCGGCAGCGTGGCAGCTCGTGAGGCTCTGCGTTCACATGTTCATGCAGCAGGCCTGGAGCGTGAACACTACAGACAATGCACGGTTAATGCCGACACAGAGCTGTCCAACTATGACCTCGAGGCAGTCGCAGAAGGAGCATGTTCGCGTAACCTCAAGAGTATTCATTATACTTTTGACTTCGCACAGCGCTGCCCAATTTTGCAAGGCAAATTGGGCCTATCTACTTTAACACGCCGCGCAAAGTGCAGCTTTTCGGTATCAACAACCAAGCTTTGCCGAAGCAAGTTAACTACATGATCGATGAAGCTCAGACTATTGGAGCAGATGGAAAGAAGAGTCACGGCCCAAATTCTGTCATCAGTCTTCTCCACCATTTTATGGAAGTTTACGGTCTTCATGAAAAAGAATATGTCCTCCACGCTGATAATTGTGGACGGCAACACAAGAATATAAGCGTGATTGCGTATCTGGCGTGGCGTGTGATGACAGGATTGCATGAGAAGATTTCGCTATCTTTCATGACTGCTGGTCACACTCGCTATCTTGTTGATGGTTGTTTTGGGCTACTAAAGCAGTCATATCGCCGCAATGATATCTACACGCTAAATCAGTTAGCCGATGTAGTCAACAGCAGTGCTGGATGTAACACCAGTTACGTCTTGTCTGATAATGACCTTCTCTGGTCTGGATCGGACGACTGGCTGGCTGACTTCTTCAAGCCAATCAAGGGGATCCGGAAGCTGCACCACTTCGTCTTCAGCAAGAACTTTCCAGGTGTTGTTAAAGTGAAGGAATCACTTGAGGCCGAAGAAGCTGAGCATAGCATTTTACGCTCCAGTGGCAGTGTGGAAACAATTCAAGCTGCGGGCCTGCCGCCACAACTTCCTAGAGGTGCCTTGGGTGCAGAACGGAGCAAATACCTCTACAAAGAGATACGCCCACTCATTCCTCAAGCATTCCAAGACCAGCTCTGCCCAGCTCCACCGCAAGCAGCAACAGAACAAGCAACAGAGGCGGAGCCAGCAATACTGCAAGCAGAATCAGACTAGATGGCCTGTATTGTCCTAGCTCTTCAAACAGATGAGTGTAACTGGCTAAAGTAGTTCTAGTGTACAGAAAACTGAACAAAGAAGGAGGTAACAGAACTGTGAGTGATCATTGTCACTTCTCACACCCTTATAATGCAATACCCTAGCTGTTTTTGTGTACAGAATACGATAACAATGTTTCTTTGGACTGCATATCAATCTGTGCGTATCGGAGTGTATGAAAAAGAATACACCCGGTTACATAATGTAGCGTAACTTTGGGAAGAAACAAGATTTTTTGACTCAGTCTTTTGCAGATGATTTCTAACATACAAAGCAATCATAATCAAGAAAAAACAGAGTTTTGAAAAATAGACCCATAAGGTCTGTTTTCGCATCTGACGGCTCAAATAATAGAAGCCGTTCTAGTGGAAACTATTATCTTTTAACCTTTTGCACCCCGCGCACGAGTATACTCGCTTTGCAGCATGCGAAAAGTAAAATTCCGGAGCGCCGAAGGTGGAAACGCAATTCACGGCCGAAATACAGGGCACAAAATTTCGCACCTTGGATTTTCGAGTGGAGACTGGCAGGGAAGGGACTTTCCCTATGAATCACAGGGGCACAGCCAATGCGTGCTGGGTACCAAAATGAGCGCTTGAACTTCAGGAATCTGAGAGAGTTTGATTTTTGCTCTGCATTGAGTAAAACTGTAGAAGCGAAGAAATTTGTGACTGGGTGTGGAATATCTCTTCGAGGCCCGATAGAGGAGCTCTCAACGGAGCGTGAAGGCAACTCTATTGCTCCTGTTGAGTGATTATTCTTTTTTGTTTGGACAGAGATTTCAAGCTTTCCAAAGAGCCCAAGATGATCATCTTCCGTTCCTGGTGAGTGAAGTTAGAATTTTTTCAAATCACACGTCTGCTCTGCAGGGCGACAGAGAGAGAGGCTCAGCGAGCGGACTGGGAATGCATGGGTTTCAGGCCGGAGTGGAAAAGGTTAAAAAGTTCGAACAGTTGATGAAGGCAATTGGTGTCCACTGTGTTCCTAGAGTGTTTCTATTGGCCCCCTATTAGGAGCATGGAGTGTGTAACTTACCACCTTCAGTCTGCGGATACTGCAGCACAGTGTTCATAGCAGTACGCTCGTCCGACACTGAAACCATGTCTTCGTGCTGAAAAGGAAACAGCGACAAACAGGGCACAGGTTGTTATGACAAGTCCGGTTAGCACATAAATCCCGTTAGTAAATAGAAATCTGAAATCCCCTGGCGAAACGTGGTCTATATTTAGAGGCCTATTTCACCTTTAGCAGCAAGCCCTGTTACAAGATACTGTAAAGCAGGAAATTTTCGGACGGAAATATTTTCGGACAAAGCCGAATTTCGACCTTTCGTACGGATTTTATTTTCGTACAGTGCTGCATGCTAAATGCACGTGTTCGCAAGCAGTACCCATGTACAGTGCACATCAAGTCACATGAACAAATTTTAGTACGGAATAAATTTTAGTGCAAAAAGGCCATGTATGAAATCGTACGAAAATATTCCGTCCGAAAATTTCCTGCTTTACAGTAAGTCTCGTTAAAAGATAACTTTTCTGATAGCCCAGGGATTATCTACTTTCGAGTGAGGACCTGTATACAGTACATAACCCTGAAATCATACCCAATGACACACTCATACTGTAAGACATGTATATATAACGAGGAAGCAAATCTAACGTTTTAACGGATGACATTTCTTCGTTATAATAAGATCCGCTGAGGCCGTACTGCTTCATATATGCTGTGTGTGGATATGGCAGAATACTGCAAGATCGTTAACATATCTTCTCGTTAACCTATGAATTTTGGACAATCGTTAAATTCGCGACTCGTTATAATAACATGTCTTACAGTAGCTTGCATATCTGGCCAGTCCGGGACCGGACACTGGCCGCAACTTGGAAATGCCCGTAACTCCCAATCACATACATTTTGATGGGGAGACACCATATACTGTAAATATACAAATTTTCGGCAGCTATTTAAATTTGGCTGTATTCGGCACCGACCCAAAACGCCTAAATTAAAACGCCGATGACATTTTTCACAGCATCTGTCGCACTATACCATGCCCTCTACCCCACACTGAAAATAAATCGCCGCCGAAATGTTAAAAATCGTGAGGTGCCGAAATTTTGCAGCACCGAAATTTTGTATATTTGAGCCAGCACACGCGAAAATCACCCTTGGTGACATATTTTCAGAAACTGAGATGACAGTGGATAAAGGCAGATGGATTTATGCAGAACTCAATGCAAAAAAACGTTTGAAAATTTTTTGAGTAAAACTTGAGTTACGGGTCTTAGAAGATACATTTTTCCCTGATATATCGCACATCACACGAAAACAGAGAACGTTTGAAGTGCGTTTTCTCAGTTTGAAGTGCGTGTCACTAAGGTCGATTTTCGCGTACGCTCGCTCATTTACAGTATACGGCATGTGGCATCACTATTTCCACAAAAAGGGACAAAAGAGTAGTGATATTTCCACTTAAACTTACCCGAAGGATGCCCGGTAGACCGAGGTGCCCGTAAATTCTTTCACGCTATCTCTCTTTCACTCACTCTCTCTCTCTCTCTCTTTCACTCACTCTGTGTGTGTGTGTGTCTCTTTCTCTCTCTCTCTATCTCTCTCTCTCTCTCTCACACACACACACACACACACACACACACACACACACACACACACACACACACACACACACATACACACACACATACACACACACACATACACACATACACACACACACACACACACACACACACACACACACACAGAAACACACACTTCTCTTCTATTCTCTCTCTCACTCTTGCTCACTATCACCCTCACTCGCGCACCGTCAGGTTACAAAGTGCACACAGCAGCTGGAAGACACCACAATCTTACCATATAGTCTTCGTCTGCTGACATCTCCTCCTCTGTCGACTCCGCGTCCACTGAGCAGTAGCCTGATCCGGTAAACGCTGCTGAGCCCGGTCCGTACACCGACGATCCCGCGTCACTCTCAGGCACGTCGTCCAGGCGAGGCGATCGCACCGAAAACCGTCGATACGCGTCCGTAGCGGTTTTCGTCTTCGGGTAGTCGACGTTGCTTTCGATCAGTTGCTGGGCCACCGCCGTGTCTCTCCAGATATTCCTTGTGACGAGATCGAGTACGCCGGGACGTGACTGTAATCCTCGGTTGACCGCGTCTGCAGAGATCTGCCTGTCAAGATTCGCTGCTCGACCGTGAAGACCCGACGCCAAGGACTCCGCTGCATCATGAACACACAAGGCCATCAAAAGACAACCGCATTAAAAAAACGAACAGACACACAGGACGTTCACCAGGAATTTGAGCACTCATTCGTCCGCGTAAAAAGACGCAAACAGGAAAAATCTGAAGAAAAAATTGACAGCCACCACCAGCACTCGAACCAGGGACCTTGAGCATTCCTCGTACTGCTTGAAAGACCAAATATGCAGCGGACAGGATTAGGGACAGAACAGGGACAGACAGGAAAGAGGACCACAGGATAACGCAATTCATTGATGGTACACGCACATACAAAGAAGGGCAAATTTGCATTTTGTATTTATGGATTCTCCACAGGCCTTAGCTTAACCATTTAACTGCCACAGAACAGATGCATCCGCACGACTGTGAAGTGCATACTGTAGAAACGCAAATGTTTCATAACTCGGCTTTCCCCGAACGGAATGGAGCAATCGAAAGGTCTATTTAGAATGTTCTCAGCTGTCGGCTCGAACAAATCCGAAGTCGATCCGAGCCCGAATAGTGGAGTTACGGCACTCGCAAGGTATTTTACGTCCAGTGCAAAAATTAATAATATTATCACTTCCGTGCGTGGGTGGCAGTCAAGGGATTTCCCCCTGTTGCATGACAATCCAGGCATGCACAGATCAGTGTGATCGTGACGTCAGGCAAGGGTTTTTAGCTGTTAGCTACAAAAAAAGCAGCGCGCTGCGATGAATACTACAAAAAATACCAGGGATTTTAGCTAATTGTCTCAAAATTCCCGCTCCGCGTCTCTTCCCAGGGCTATAGCGCCAGTGTAGTAGCACCCTTGCTTGTGAAAATTATATTGGTGTGTGCCTCTTGCCAATAGCTTTCCAGAAAGCCTTCGTTTGTCAACATTATGAAGGGAAACAAAAGTTGTGATCCGAACAGCTTCCATATGTAGTGCATACGGCGATTTTCCAGAAAGAATTTGGCAGCTATTATGGTTAAATCGAGGGAGTCTCCGTGTCTTCTCGTACTCTTTTTGGGTTTCTGCAGGTCAGGAGTGGAGGAAGTCTACAAGGAGAGGGAGCAATTGCTGGAGGTACTGGGTTCGGAGGAGGAAGCGAAGGATATATCTGCGGCCAAGAAGCGGAAGCATGATTCCGATCTCAAGCAAATAGAGAGTTCCTGAACCCCTGTTCCCTTTAGAAGGAGACTAACTCTACATCAAGGTGTGCCAGCACTGTCTCTGCCAGTGCGCAAGACTCATCTAAAGGTGTTGTGTGCAGCTGTCTAGATACACAAGATCACCTTACATAAGGAACATATTGTTAGGAAACACCAGATAGGCCAAGTATACTGTTCTGTTGCCACTCAATTGTTTTAGCGTACATACTTTCTATGAGAGAGAATAAATCAATGAAGGAGAGAATAATAGGTAAATACATACCAGGCCTAAAAGAAAGAAAGAGAGAGAGAACTGAGAGAGAGAAATAGAAAGTAGCAGCAAGGAAAACAAGTGTGAAGTGAGAAATTGGACCAAACTAGTGGGGAGGAAAGAATCAATTAAAAAAAAACACACACACACATTTGACATATCAAACATGTCATAACCAACAAAATTCAATTGAAATGTTCAGCTGTTGGTGAAGGCAGCAAAACATCATAGGACATGGAGGAAGGCAACCAGCCCAGCAATCTTCACCTTGATGCTGCCATTTTCCCATCAGCTGGTATCACCTGTGGCATGGGTGGATGGCTGATACTACCCTTCACCCTGCATGGTATCTCTAGCCTGCATACTATATAAGTCTTCAAACATTTGACCCTTTCAAAATTTAATGTCAGTCTCCCAGGGCTAAAACACATCTTGGCTACATGAATTGATCACAAGTAGCACAAGTATCACAAGTAGCACAAGCAGCACAGTAGTAATCTGACCTTTTCAAATATTATTATCATCCTTGTTCAGACAAAAGCTGCAGCTCTCCTTTTCAACTCCTTATTCATCTAGTCCTAGGCCACCACGGCCACCACCACATGGCACTAACTTTCAAGGGTTGCATGCAGTGCATTACAGAGAAGAACTGCTAAAGAAGGAAGTAAGGACAGTAAGACCATTGCTGCTCAGAAGACAGAACTAACTAGCTCTAGAAGCCTTTACTTGGCCTATGCTGCAGTGCTGTGACTCAGTCACTGCCTCCCAGTGACAGACTGTATGGAGCCCACTCTGCACTGCCTCAGGCTCCCTAAAGTGAACACTTAGTTTAGATGCACTACCCACACATACAGCATATCCAATAGCTACACCATTCCTAATGTGCACCAGTGCTGTGACTCAGTTACTGCCCCCCAGTGACAGACTGTATGGAGCCCACTCTGCATTGCCTGGGGCTCCCTAAAGTAAAAACTAAGAGTCTTACTTAGTTGCAATGCACTACCCACACATACAGTATATCCAATAGCTGCACCCTTGCTAAACAAAGCATGCACAGCACTGCATTGCAATTGAATTGCAATGCACTAACCACACACCACACACAGCATATCCGTCACTGTGCAATGCAAGCACAATCTAGCACTGCACAGCACACACACATCACTACAGTCCATTTCAAAACTATAGACGCGTACCTAGGCAAAAACCGTTATGCCAGCATCTATACCACATAAAATCTGTGATCACTTTGTGCATAAATTTTTCCAAATTGGGCGTCTGTTATCCAATCCTTTAGAAACTATAATATATATTATGAGAGTAATTGTGGAGCGATCCTGAGCAATATTCCGAAAACAATTCTCAAAAGTTCCAGCCAAATTTGAAATATTTCAAAAACCCTACGCGTCTATAGTTTTGAAATGCACTGTACCCACTTCTCACTGCAAAACTCCAGAGATTAATTTGGGAAAAATTCCTGGGTTTGATTCTCCACAGGCCAGGATCTGGAAAATCTGCCATACTTATCAGAATTCTGCCAGCCAGTCTGCAGACTACACTACACTACACTACTCAGACTACACTACACTACACTACTTGCATCAACTAAAGGGTAAACCCAGGAGACTGGAGAGATCACAGAACTGGTCACAAGTATTGAAGTAACTGAACTAGTTGCAGCAGAAATTTCTGAAACCAGAGTCTTTCCTAATCTCCCTTTTGCAGAGCAACCTGTCCCTAGAAGGCAGGTCAGCTCACTGACTGATGCCCTTCCAGTGGTTGCAGTGTCATGGCCTCCAACCTACACTGAGCAAGTAACAGTTAACTGACATCACTAACTGGCAACCACTAAACTCCCACATACAGATGTTCTAATACCTCTTACACAGCATGACACACTGGTGTGTGCCATTGATAGTACTAGTACTACTACTAGTACTACAACCTACAGCCAGTGGCAGTGTGACAGCAACCTTGTAGCCACCAACCCAGCAGGAGTACTAGATGCTTTGCTATCACTGAAACCACCAGCATGTCCCTCCATTGCACCAAACCACAAAGCATGCCATGGAGCCACTACTGCAGTGTGTACCCAGAGACAGCTAGGGAGCTACAGCAAATCCTACATTTGTACATACTAACATGCAGAGTGTTTACATAGATAGATGTGCAGTCTGTATGCTGCCAGCACAAGTGCTACTGTACTGTCTGTAGTGTAGTGACAGAGAGCAAGGTACTATTACTTAGTAGTATTACTATTAGGCTGTAGTGTACTGATTGAAGTGATTCTACCAGCCTGCTATGTACATGGCAAGTACACAAAGAGAGTAAAAGCCCTGAGCATGCTTGCCATGCTGAACCTGTCACATGGCCATTACACCCACGCCCACACATACTTGGCAGCAGCAGCAACTAACTGCTGCAATGCACTGAGTGCAGCAGCAATGGTAGATCTTCTAGCTACAGCCAGTACACTGTACAGGCTGAAGTCCACATTCCTAGTCTGCTCTGTACTGTAACAACTAGTCTTGACAGCAGTAAAGAAAACAGACACTCAGCAGACATTACTACTAATTAATTTTATTTTTATTATTATTATTACTAGTCCCAGCACCAAGACACCTACATGTATCTGTGTGTGCATGGTGTGTGAGACAGAGAAAGAGGGAGGGAGAGAGAGAGAGAAAGAAAGAGCCCTGGCCAGAACTAACTCCTCTAGGATCTGCTTGAACCTAATGACTATGACCAGCCAGTATACATTAGGCACAATATTCAGCTGGGAGAGATGAGGAGATCTGAATAGTGCACTAGTGGTAGTAGTACACTAGTGTACTGAACAGTATATGAATAAAGCACTACCCTACACCATGTACTCCACTCCAGAGACTGGGTCAATCCTACACCAGCTGCCTGTCTCCTCAGTTTGAGACCACCTGACTTGTGGGTCCATTGCTCTCTCACAGTCTCAGGCACCCAACCAGATACTGGTAGCTGGGATCATGAATAGTATAGTCTAGAGTATTGTCCATACTCAGCCAATACTGCCTAGAACTAAGAAGCACAAGCTGCCTAGGACCAGTGGGCAGTAGGACCAGGAGGAGGGCCTGTTTAGAAATGCAGTCTCTTTAGAATTAGACCCAGTAACAATGACTGGCCTACACAATGGTTTCCAAGACCCACACAAGTTTACAAATTCCCAACTACCAAGGACAATGTTTGCAACAACAAAAACTCCCCATGCCACTACTGGCACTAGCACTCCAGGTCCCCAACTACAATTACATCACTTCACAACAGACTTACCTGACAATTCTTCATTTAGTCACTCTGTCTAAAGGAGAAGTCAAATTCTTATCACTCTGAAGAGGTGAAGAACTGAAAAGCCGACCAGACCATAGAAGACAACGAAGACAAACCTGTTCTGCAAGCAACTACTGTGTAAGGCAGGCTTTTTAGCTCACTGGCCAGGCAAGGCCCTTCCAGTGGTAGCAGCATCATTGCCTCCAATGATCATCCACTGACATCAGTGACTGGCACCTACACACTCCCACATACAGATTTTCCAGCCACAGTATGGCCAGTACAGGCAGTAG